AACAAGGTTCGCGCGTTAATCTTTTATGTATTAGTATTGGACATCATTATCATAGATTATCTAGCTTTTATTATCATAGATAACTTGACAACAATTATTCTAATAGTAATTATATTATTACTGTCGTTGTTATAATTATTACAATAGTAATTATACTACCATACTGTTATTATTATTATTGTTATATTATTTATATTATTATATGTTATTATTATACTATTTATTAAGTACATATTATTGTGTCTGTGCAAAAACACAGAGTGAGATATCTTCTGCCCTAAATCTTTCAGATATCTAAATCTCTGCTTTTTATTTGAGCAACAAAACAGTATATTGTTTTCAACATGTTTTCACACACAGTGTGAACTAGCTGTTACATTAGATGATACATGGAGCGATAACATTTTAAACACAGGGGAATATATCTAAAATAAGAGGTATACCCCCCTGTGTTTGAAATGTTATCGCTCTATGTATCATCTAATGTAATAGCTAGTTCACACTTTGCGAGTGAAAACATGTTGAAAGTAATATACTACATTGTTGCTCAAACGCAAATAAAAAGCACATTTTTAAATTATTTTTAATACAAAATTAATATCAGTATAAAATATAATAGTATAAGGGCTAACGAGCCTGACTAAATGTCCTTGTCATTTATAAACTTTGATAGGTGTGCAAAGTAACAAATTATAATTAAACATAACAATTAAACATAATATAAAAATAAAACCAAACGTTTCGACCTTTAATATTCCTCAGTGTTCTCAGTGTTTTCCTCAGTGGTTATATAAATAAATTATACAAATAAAAACGAGTTAAATCTGACGTTATCGTACACAATATTCACGCTTGGTAGGAAATTGAAAAGAATCGATGAATAACTAATAAACGAGTTATTAATGAGAATATTCGCAACATAATATGTAAAATGTAGTCGTTAGAAAAACAACATTGGAACGAATCTGCGTTGATCCAGTGAGTAGTCGGTTGTCCAAACTTTTTTAAAATTAACAAGTCGAGATAGATGAGTCTCCAGGATAAAAATTGTGTACATGAGGCTGATATAGCAGAAGAATGATGTCAGAAAAAATTGTGTGCGTATCTAGTTAGTGATACAGCACAAGTTTTAACTCGTTTGTATACTTTATTTGTATAACCACTGAGAAGGTCCATATTAAAGATCGAAACGTTTGGTTTTTATATTATGTTTTGTTAATTTGCACACTTATCAAAGTTTATAATTGACAAGGACTTGCAGTCAGGCTCGTTAGCCCTTATATTATTTCATATTAATATTATATCTTTGAACCGATTGCGTTTCTTTTAATACAAAATTAATATTTTTTTACATACACTAAATTAAAGTTTAAAACATTGAGCTATCTTTATTCAATTTGTCTCGGAGAATAATTTTAATTACAAGTTAATAACGGTATAAACCCATATTATTGCAAATGTATAATAAGATCAACATTATTGAAGAACAGTTATGAACCAAATAAAGAGAAATAACGTCTTGCTGTGTAAAAAAAATTAAAGTAGGTATGAAAGATTTATAAGAATAAGAGATAGCGCGTACCTTATCACAAACTCGTTGAGAATCTGTATTACTCCCAGCATAGAATATTCCCATAGGAATGTGCGAAAAATGGTCTTCAACAGACTCGGACTGCGTTTCCATTTTTTCGAATTTTCCAACTCGATGTTCCATCGTCTGCAAGTACATACCATTGCGTTATTATAATTTCTACGCTTTTTTAAAAGGGCGATGCAAAAGGAAGATGAGCCTGCGTACATCTTCCTTTTTTTCTTTCTTTTTATTTTTTCTCTTTTTTGTGACATAATTTCAATACTCACTTTTCTAATCGATCTCCGAGCAGCTTCGCTCGGTCGGCTTTCCGATCTCATATAAGTCTTCTACTTCTAAAACCTTACTTGTATCCCTGTTCTGAATATCTTAATGGTCCACCTGTTTCAAGGGTCAATATGTGAAAATTAGATATTCGCTTACCAAGTAGTGTTAGATTGCAGATAACAAAAACACGGCAAAACTGGGAATGGGGAAAAGAGATTAGAAACAACTTCGTGCGAAATGTTTCGCGGCATGATAATGCGCTTTCGTTATATTAGTTTCGCGAGATACAGCGTCATATTTGAAGACAAGGTAAATTTGTTTGAAGATAAAGAGTGATATGAGGTAAAAAGACAAGTCAATTTTACGTGCCCAGCAGCACGTACAATCATTTACATCACATTTTGAAATGTCATTATACGATTCGGCTGCTTCTTACATCTAAATGCTTATTAACGCAACAAACCCTTGAAAAGTTCAATATACAAACATTTAAACATGCGAATATATTTACAGTATTTACTAAATCTTATTTAAAAATTATTACAAACATTATTATTATTATTATTATTATTATTACTATATTTAGAATTTTTTAAATACCTGAAATTTTTCTCAAGTGTATCATATAATATATAACTTTTTCGGAATATATGCAATAACAAAAAAGGAAAATGTATAATAATTCAAAAAAATAATTGTAGTCAAAGACGTCGAACTTTAGTCTGTTTTGATATATATAATCCAGTTATCCGTAAATCTAATGATCGGAAACAAATCTTTAGATATTTTATTATTCAACGTTTGAAGGCATTTAAGCGTTTAGATACCTTCAGACTTCGCGAAGACCCCGAGGAATCTCGCCGTACGAAAATCTGACGATCCGGAAGTCGTGTGAACTCACCACCAAAGCAACACCGACACGATGTTCGCCTTTTCCCGCGGATTCGGCTTCGATTTGATATTCGTTGAATCCATCGGTCCTCATACGCATTAACTCGTGAACTGCCAATTTCACGGTTGAAAAACGACCAATTCATTAACTACGTCAAGAGACAATATGTATAAATTAGCTATACGCTTACCAAGGTTAACTTATCGGGTTAACTAATCAACAATTATACGCTCGGGCATTTTTAAATTGAATAATCGCTCCTTAGATTTTACCTTCAAGATACGAGTATTTTTGCTGCGAGCAATAAACTAAAAATAATGGAAAAAAGTTAGAAGACGTAATAAAAAAATAAGTAAAGTAAGAGAAAGATACTGTCACGTATCGTAAATATTTTAGTCAACATATTTATGTATTGATAAACAATCGCGATTATAAAGAGCGGTTTAAACGATACTTACAACTTGCCACGAGTCACAATACGCACTATGCAAATCCGATTAACGCGTGTGTCAAGAAGAAATGGCAACAAATTTTCTCGATACATTTAATAGCGTTTGTAATGATCGTGAATAACGTAGGGTTCGCAGTTAATTTTTACGCGTGTGATTCAAATAACGGACATGATCATCACGTGTGTACAGCCATGGACATATCGTTGCAACACTTATTTTTTAATAGGTTTCGAAATGCACTGATATTTTGCAAGTGCGAACCACGATTAGTGTACTGTCTCTAGACTAAAGATAATTCACTATCGTGGTTCGCACTTGCAAAATATTAGTTACCTATAAAATATATATTACATATAATAAATATATACTAAAAACCTATGAAAAAAAGTGTCGCAACCGATATGTCCACGACTGTACATAGATCGCACCATCAATGAAACGAGAATATCTTCGGATGTGCATGGTATATATTGTACACTTTACAGCGTAAGAATTATGCCGTAATAATATATATTTAAATGTATTATTAAAAGAAGAGAACGTGCAATTAAGCTATAACTTATTAATAGTTAACGACGCTTATAATGACGATCTAAGATAGTGCGAGAGTTAAAATTATATGAGCATGATTTATGTTTCTTCATTTCTTCACTGAAGGTTACTGAAGAATATACCGGTATAATACTATCGTCACTATCTCAAACATTTTATCTACTGTACATAGAACACAGCTCGCTGGAATTAATCTAGAAGCAAGAACATTAACGCAAGTAACCGAGTAGAAATCCGCAGAAGGACGACAGCGGCACACGTGTATGTACTATGTATATATATATGTATACATATATGTTTGTCAAGCTGAGCTGAGAGTTAGATTCATCATTAAAACATCATTAAAAGAAAGAGTAATTGCAATGACGGTCACGCACCAGGCGCGTAGAATAGTAACGGAATTATATAATTCGGTCTTAATTGAACTGCGGCTCGCAGAATCGTTCACGAGGCATGTCGCGGAATCATTCAGCGGGCAGAGAACCGTAATCAAGCGGACCCTGTCGCGCGCTCTCTCGGGAATCCACCCGCGGAAATCGCCCGCAAACTTGATCGCAATTTAAAAAATTCGCAGGTGTCACGGCGATTGCAATAAATGGATATAACTGAAAAATGGATACTCAGGCTATTCCTGATACAGACGATTAAAATTTACGATCATCGTGAATGTCCGATCTGAGAAAATTGAGATTTGTGTAGCATTAAAAACCTGTTTATATGTCGCTGTATGCATATAATAACTGGTCCCCTTTATGAATCATTACTCCGCGATTCATAGAGAAGAAATCTGCCGCATTACAACAAGAAATGACAGAAACTACTTTTGGCAGACTCAATCAGAGATCGAGGATTGATCGAAGGACTGATTCGTCGCGTCATTTTCAAGTACCATAGATTTTGTTCGACCGGTCGAATTCCCCGTTTAAGCTGTATGCTGATGTTACTCATTTGATCCTTTCTTCTTTCAACAAACGTGACCGGGAGTTTTCACCTTGCTCCTGCTCACAAATTCATCACGCACAAGTTCGCATGCATACACACGTACGCAGGCAATGCAGCAACGAGGAAAACGACTAATCGCGACGACGTCCGCGCGGACACTGAGCCAGCATTGAGCGTCGCGCCGTTCTCATTAAGTACATCACGTGGCAATCGTCGTCAAGCGCTCGGGCCGACGAGCTGGGGGATGCCTAACAATCGCGACTGAAAAATCTGTTAATTCAGATCGTAGACTGCGCCTATTCCAGTATTATAGTTCAGTGCTGGATGCACACAGGACACGCTTGCCGCGTGGCGGAAGGCATGGCAAGAAGAAAGGTTTTCCTATCCCGAGATCTAGCCACATTTCATTAAAAATTACTACTCATCACTAATAAGATGAGTAATGATATTACTATTATAATGACACCACCGCGAATTTAATACTGTATTTCTACACTGCTATAGTCACAAGTGGTGGCACTATTCACAGTGGATGGGCGATTTTTTCAAAAATCGATTTTTTTAATCGATCTAGATCGGAGACTTAAAAATTGATTCGCTAAAAAATCGACTGTCAAAGAATCGATTCATTAAAGATCGATTTTTTAATATAATTTACAAAATATTTAATATATTATTTAATATAACTAGCACGCTTCTACATACGCGTGCTTCGTGCGCGTTATTTAGCTGCACTTTTTACTTTTTATTATTACTTACAACTACACATCAACTTCAATGCACGCAACTGTCAAGATATGCAATGATAGCCGCTCACGAAGCACAGCGAGACAATTAATCAACATCACGGAATAGATTCAACAAATTTCGAGATTTTTCAATAATTTGACTTTGACTTAACATGCCTTTTTTAGATAGACACTTATACAATTTTTTATAATAACAACATATTTACTCAAAGTGTAGGTATATGCATCGTACAAAGGTTTCTTAATATTTAGAATTGTAATAATATAATTAAAACCTTATTAGACAAAAAATTCAATGCAAAATAAAGTTTTAAATTACAATTAATTGTATATTGTTAGGTACACAAAAACACTATTACCTATAATAGTGTAAAATTTAATTTTAAATTTTATTTCACATTTCGAACAAAAAATAAAATTTTATATCATTTATGTAATAATTTCAGTCTTCCAAATAGTGCGGTTTATCTATATTCTTCTAACATTCTGTTCGTAATTGAATAAGAGAAAGCAATCGATTGACATGTGCAGTAATATTATTCAGGGATTGAAAGATTTTATAGAAAAAGAATCGTTATTACAATTTATTTTTTTTTTTATATACTTCGCGGTACTTTGGTTAATCGTTTACATTTCATACGGCGCGAGCGCCGTATGTATATGTGCGCGTACTTTCATCTTAAAGTTACTGTACATAATATTCAACAGTTTACTGTAAACAATAGTGTCGTAAATATTTTATAATACAGCGCAACAAATGCGTAATTGACCGCAAAGAGATGGAGTTTCACGCATGACGAGCATCAAATGAAGTAACTGTGTAAAGATGATTCTAAAGCTATCGAATACCTAAAAGTGATCGTTTACAAAAAGATGTATATCTTTAAGATGTATACTCGTAAATTTACAAGTAAAGCTTGCCTCAAGCATAATTCTATAATTAGATATAATATATCAACGAGGTATATATGTATGCCGTCGTAACATTACTCTGTACGTTACGTCACTAATATATAATACACTTTAATAGTATATTATATATTATTAATAGTAACAATACTAGTAAAATTAAGTGTTAGCAAAAATATGCTATATTACTTACATTTACTATACTATATTGAATACACTATATTACTATATACATATACTACACTATATTACGTACACTATGTCACGTATTATACTTTATTGACATTGCCTGCTATAATATATATATATATATATATATATATATATATTTTATATTTTATTTTAACAGATAATGTACATATTTGCATTAATAAATGCAGTATACAAAAGTACTGAGTTCTCCTCTCTGCATATATGCCTATATTATAACAAGAATTAAGTATAATAAGTAAAACTCAAATAATCATATCATTAAGTATTTGAGTTGAGTTGGAGTATTCGTTTGTACGTTAATTAATATATTCGGATTAATATATTCATACTGAGTGAACTATACTAATCCATCATTATAAAAATAGTCGTCGTCAGATTTTTATTGGAAAGAAAAGAGGAAAGCAATATAAAAATCAGTTTCATTACTATTTATAAATATATATATATATATATATATATATATAAGATGAAAATTTATATATATAATTATATGTAATTAATTTATATATATAAATAAAATATAAATTAAAAATTTATATATATATATAATATATATAAATAAATATAAATGAAACTTCATATATAAATTATACTTTTTAGATTTATATATAATTTTAATCTATTTTATATAAAATTTACTTGGTAAAGATTGTATTACCAATTTAATCACTAAGATTCTTTATAACTCTTATAAGATCCTTATAACTCAAAACGTATGACGAATATTGGTAGAGATCACAGCAAACTTACTGTGCGTAAATATCGTCTTAGGTACAACTTCGTGTTCATGATAAACCGCGTTTCATCTCACTGATAATCTTCGATCGGCGTCTACGCATTCGCTTTATCACAAAAACTAGGTATATCCATAATTTCTATAGTACGCAAAAATATGGAGTAGAAAAATATAACAGTATTGCGGATCTTAACTTGTGGCAAAAAGTTGTACTAGACATTACGGCGAAATCGGGGAATAATCTCCCGGCAGCGATCTTATCAAAAATGATACAAAAATATTATCTTTAGATAATACAAAAATATTTCTTCAGACACATGTTACGCACACAACATCACAGCGTTGTGATACTTAACGAAAATATCCTGTCTACGACGTACGTCCCGAGGAAAGACATACAACAATACGTTTCTCTGATCTTATAGAAACGTATAACATTCGTTTTCACGCGCCATGCACGATCTATATGTCTTTTTCTTTTTCGCCATAAGTATACTGGGCACATTAACGCTTTTACTTTGAAAAATCTAGCTAACGAGAAATTATTATATCAAAATTCATCAACACTTCGTCATGTTCCCCCGTACTTGTTTACGTAGGCTTGCTTTGCCACCTTGACCAGTTGATCGTACATACCTGGGCCGGTCTCCTTCACTAACGAAGTAAACTGACTATAACTGTTTTTCAGTAATATGTGAGGATGGTCGTATTCCTGCAAAATAATTAGCATTGACATAATAATTAAATAATTATATTTATTTTTTCTTGATATCAAAATATAAATCGCAATTCTGCGTATGTATGTACATGCTACGTTAAAAATCATAATAACGCCTAGGTAATAAAAAAATTCTTTTACTTGTAAAAGATTTTTCATTTTTTAATTTATAAAAATTTCCAAAGAAATTAACTTTAACTTTTTTAGATATAAATTTTCTTCGGAAAGAAATCTTAGAATATTCAGAATTCATGAAAAGATTTAGGCTTTCTCAGCATTTTTTTAAAAGTGTTCAAATTCGTAAAAAAATCTGAGAAATTTTCTAAAAATTACGCAAAAAATTTTAAAATGTTTCTCTAGGATAAATAAGTAAATAAATCCTTTCATATGAAACAAAATAGCATCAAGCACTTTACAAAAAATATGAACGAAATCATACAAAACTTCAAGAAACAAAACGTTTGTTTAAAATCCAAACTCTTGTGCTCTCAAATGTCCGAATCTTAAAAATCCTTACTAGAGTTCAAAATTGCAAACTCCCAGATTGTCATACATGTAATAGAAAATGCGTCTTTTAAGAAAATTGTACTTACAGCCAAACGACCCTTATCCATCACCAGAACCTTGTCACTGTCCATTATAGTATTCAGGCGATGCGCCACTGTGAGCATCGTGCACGTCGCGAATTTCTTCCTAATAGTCCGTTGAATTAACGCATCGGTATGCGGATCCACATTTGCAGTTGCCTCGTCCAGCATCAGTATACGATTGTTTCTCAGGATGGCTCTCGCTAAGCATACCAACTGTCTCTGTCCAACGCTGTAATTACTGCCTCTGTCAAACACGCGACTTTCCAAGCCGTTTCCGACAGTAACCGCTTCCTTCAGCTCAACCTGGAATATATATTACAGAAAAAATTATCGAATAGTATAAAATGTTCGTAGTTATTCAATAATCTTACAGGACTGTCCATGTGACTTGAAGTTAGATGGTACACGGATTAAGAATCCCGGATCATGGAATTTTATTCGAATTTTTGGAACTTGGAATTTTAAGATAAATCTTTGGAGCTAAAATGTCGGAATTGTAGGATCTTTTGACGTTACAGCATTACGTTTCGATTAAGCACAGGTCTATTTTTTTAATTAGAAATTATTCGAACCTCTTCAAGTGCCTCCCACAAATCCGTGTCAGGAAATTCGTTGAAAGGATCTAGATTACGTCTCAGAGTACCTGAGAACAAAACAGGATCCTGAGGGATGATGGATATTTTACGTCGCAAATCCTCCAAGGCTATCAAACCCGTGTCCGCGCCGTCAATCTCGATGATTCCCTCCACCTTTGCCAATCGGAACAATGCTGCTATGAGCGACGATTTCCCGGCGCCTGTTCTTCCGACAATTCCAACCTGCGTGACGGTATCATTATTTTTAGAATATCCGAATACTTTTCCCAAATTATTTTTTATACACATCTGTATATTAATATATATAATTTTCTTCCTTTACGTCATTTGGATAAAACTCTTTAACTTCTCAAAATAAAATAAAATAAAATTTAAAAATACTCTTAATTTCTATCAATTTTCCTCAAATTTTTATCATTCTTTACTTTATTTACTTTACTTACTTAATTTTCTAACGATCAATAAAAATTTATCTTTGAAAAAAGTCAGGAAGAATTTTCGACTATCTCAAGTTCCGAATAAAATTAAAGTTCTTTAATCTTTTAATAAATAATTTTAAAATAATAATTAGATAAAATTTTTCCATCTTCTTTCTACTCATCTGTTTCTACAAAAATTTCTTCGCAAAACTCGTACCTTCTCCCCTGGATAAATCACTATACTCAGGCCCTTGAGGACAGGCGGATCTTCGTCCGCATAGCGCATATAAACGTTTCTAAACTTGATACAACCCTCGTCGGGCCAGGTTTTGGGAACGTTAGACGGCAACGCCAGATTCTTATCCTTCTTTTTCACATAGGCCCCCCGGTCTTTTAGATTCGGTTCTGCCGGGAGTTGAATGTATTCGAGTACACGTTCCACCGCCATCATTTGGTTCGCTACCTCCGCACTTTGTCGCATTCCCCACTGAATTATCCCGGTCATAGCCATTGCCTGAGTGATGGCCAAACCGACTTCGCCACCGGAAAATGCTGAAAGATTCCCAACATACACAATCCCATTTAATTCTATTTTTATTCATTCAGTCAGATATAGATTGAAATTGCTTATCAATGTTCCATTTTATAAAATATATATTTATTTATGCATAATTTTAGCAATAAATAATTTTTTTTCTTCAACTCTTTTAAGCACATTAAATTATTTAATAATTTTAAGTATTACGAGTATTTAAAAAATCTTTAGATATAATTATTTATTTGTTATATAATCTTCAAAAAACATATTTTTCATTTAAAAATTAATACTGATATTTCGTGTCCTTTTTTTTAAATACATATCTAAAAGTGAGAATTGTTCGTAGAGAAAAATTAGGAGAAACTTGTGGAAAAGTTGATGCTTACAGCTACTGAACAAGAAGCTAAAAGTGACGATTGAAGTAAAGATAAAACAGAACATGTCCAGAGAGAATCCAAATGCTGTGCTGGTCACAATATACATATAAATGGTAGACGTGTGAACATCTTGCATCTTGTCAAATTCATGTTTGAGTATGTCTTGGGCGCAATATGCTCTGATAGTTGTCAAACCGTTCAACGTGGCGTTCAAGTGAGTGAATACTGGCGAGCGTGCTGAAACACAAAAGAAGCATCCTCGGTAAAGAAACCTTCTCTTCAGGAAATATTTATGCCAACTAAAAAAACACTATAAATTTCAAATAATTAATCAAATAATAATGGGAAAAAAAATTAAAAATACAAAATGAGAAAATGAGATTTTAAAATAAATAAGTAATAAGAAAGATATCGAAAATAAGAATAAAGTATACAGAAAATAATAAATTTTTAATTTTATATTATTTGGAAAGTATTGTTTTATATGCATATAATATTAAACAGCAAATAATAAGTATATCATGTGTACAAATATATTCAATATTATATATACAACAAAATTATATATATATATATATATGTGTGTGTGTGTGTGTGTGTGTGTGTGTGTGTGTGTGTGTGTAATCAAAATTTTGATAAATTCTGAAATCTAAATAAGGAAGGCAGACATACAAATTCCCTCCAGTCGCTTGATGTTCTTGCTGGTCTTGAGGTAGACCCTCCGGATCCAGTAAAATAGCAAACTGATGGGCACGACGGGCGCCAAGAAGATGGGATTTACCACGCAGGTTACTATTAGTGATCCTAACATCAGCATGTTCATCTGACCGGCGTCCAGAATCGCTTTAGGCAATAATTCGTCGATCGCGCCCATGTCTTTGGAGAATCGATTGAGTATTCTGCCACTCGGATTAGTGTCGAAAAATCGCATTCCTGTACGAATTAATGCGCTGAACATCATATCGTGTAAACGTTGGCTGCATGTTATGCACGTTTTGTAGAAGACCAACGATCTGGTGATGCCAACAAAAAAGATGGCCAGCACAATGCCAGTGTAGATGTAGACATATTTCATCGCCGATTCGTCTTCAAGGGTAATGTGCTCGTGTATGTTTGTTGCGTTCATGTAAACGTCATCCGTCTGATTCATTCTAAACTCCTTGGCTTTGTAGTTTTCCGCTTCCACAAAATTGATTCTGAAGAAAAGAAAATTATTGAACGATAAAGGAAACAATTAAAAATAGTATAAGGTGCTTCAAATATCTTTGCTAATTTAATATTAAATGCTTGTATTAAATACGCGAGTGTATAAAAGTTAATATAATAGACACAGATTTAAGAAAACTGAGTCAATCTCTAATAAAAATTTTTCTTAGAATTTTTCATACAATTCTTCAGCATTTTCACGTAAATTTTCTAATTTCCATACAATTTTAATTATTATTATTAGAAAATTTCTCAGATTTTTTACACAAATTAGAACACCTTATAAAACCACTGAGAAAAAGGTTACTGCTTTCCAAAAATCTTTCATATATATAAATTCTGAAATATTCTAAGATTTCGATCGTTTTATAATTTCTGAAGAAGGGTTACAAAGTCTAAAAAAGTTTAAGATATTTTTTCAAAAACTTTATAAATTAAAGATATTTTTAAAAATATATTATAATATATTATAAAAATTTTTTCACCAAGATATTAAAAGATAAAAAAAGATAATATAATAATTATTTAAATGTTACAGTAAATATTTCTTCAATCAATTAAACAGTTTCCGATAATGTAGGCATTGATACTCACAAGAAAGGCACGAAGTAATCATTAAGACTGACGATGAATTGCGTGATGATGAACAGAAGTAAAACGGTACCAGCCATGTATAAGTTGGCACCAATTTTGAAGAACTTGATAAATATAGGACCCTTAACTATGCCGCGCGACGTTGTCTCGAGACCGCCGTTCAATGTTTCGGGATCTTCGTCTTCGTCTTCGTCGTCGGTACCGCCGGTACTAGCTTCTGGAGTTCGACTCTGTTAAAGAAATTTTATCCTCATAATGTTAACATTCTTATCTTCAATCAAATTTATTTTCCTTTTCATTTAAATATTATTATTAATATTAAATACAAGAACTGTAAAAGATCAGGTTTAATTTTTTTATTATATTTATATATTTTATATATTCAAATTGCTCTAAAAACAATATTTAGAAAATAAAAATTATATTTTGCAAAACTCTTTTCTTATTCATTGTTGTTTTGTATTTATAGTTTCACTTACTCTGGTACTCGAGGAGGAAAACTGTCGTCGTAAGTTTATACTCTTTTCTAAGGACGAGTCGTCAATCGCTTCATTGTCCGCTGCTATAAGTATTCCGTATTCAGGTCGATATTCCAATAAATCTTGATAATGCGAAAAGTACTTCATTCTTCCCTGCTCGAGCAGTATAATGGCGTCCACTCCCTTTATGTACTGCAGCTGGTGCGTCGCCAAGATTCTCGTTTTACCGGCCAGGTATCTCTGAATGCACTCTTGAAATAGATGCTTGCTGACATGTGCATCCACCTGGAATTTCAAACAAAAAATGCTTCATCAGAATTCACGTTCGAAATGCAAAATTCCGCATCGTTATTGTTCATCAAACTCGAATTGCACAAATTATACATCACCCTTGAAAGAATGAATCAGAGTAAATTATTGGCTCGTTCAATTACCCACCGCGCTCAAAGGATCATCCAGCAAATAGATGTCCGACTGCCTGTACAAGGACCTGGCCAAGTTGATCCTGGCCTTTTGACCGCCGGACAGCGAGCTGCCCCGCTCACCCACCATAGTCAGATCGCCCTGCGGAAACTGCTTGAAGTCGCGCAACAGGGCGCAAGCCTTGACCACCTTCTGGTACCGTTGGCGATCGTAAGGTTGTCCGAAGAGTATATTCTGTCGAACAGTGGCACCGAAGACCCAGGCTTCCTGGCCGGCGTAGCTCACGCTGCCGTTGACCTTCACCTGTCCTCCCGCCAGGCTGATCTCTCCCAGAATCGCGGACAGAAACGAGCTTTTGCCGCTGCCCACCATGCCGATTACCGCGTACAGCTTACCCTTTTCTATTTCCAGATTCAGATTCTCCAGAGTGTTCTCTGACTGTTTCTCTTCCCACTTGGCAGTAACGTTAATCATGTTAATGGCCCAGTTGTTCGTATCATAAACGGATTTTTTCTCTGTAAGTAGTAAAATTTTGTTTCAAGTTAGGTTTCTTGATAGTAAATGTTAAAAAAGGAACTGGAAATATTCAAGCAACACAAAATATCTTACAAGACTTTAAAAAATTTTTTTAAACATCTCTAGAAACTCCAAAGATCTTTATAAGATATCATAAAAATTAATTTTGTTTTAATGTCTTTAAAATATTATTTTGTTAAGGTAATTACTGCTTTTTTCTTCAAATTGTATGTCTATGATAATGAATGTTAAATTTGAAATATATCCTTTAAAGATTTTATATTTACGTCGTCTAAATATGTATATAACATATGTATAAAACATAAATTATGTTTCTTTCTAAAATTCTTTGACTTTTGAATCATTACCTCCAATAAAATTCGCGTCGTTCTTCAATAAGTCGCTGGCAACAATCATCAGACCGTTAGGCTTTCTGTGATCGCTATTCTCATCCGGGACCTCTCTACATGATTGATCCAACTGAGTCTCCACGTCGTCGTCGTCGATGTAGGGCAGATCTGATTTGGAGACTCGCTTCACATCCGAATTGATATTGGCGTAGGATGCCTTGGAGACGATGACGTTGCTGCCCTGGAACTCGTCGAACATGAGGAAGCCCTGGAGCCTGCGTATGGCTACCATACACTCGGCCAACTCGGCGAAACCGCGGACGAACATGCCGGTCATGGTGTGCGCGAGGATGTTGAAGTAGGACGAGATGACGAAGACCTTGTCGGCGGTCATATCAGGACCGAACGCCAGCATGGCGACGAGGGTGCAGTAGAGCGCCATCCGGGTTGTGAAGAGATTGAAGGTCATGTAGATGCCGCGGATGTACGAACTCTTGGTGACCACTCGAAGTTCGAGCTTACGCGCCAGCTCGACCATGGCGCAGAACGGT